CTGTAAAACGCATATAACAAACATTTATGCATTTATGCCTTTCCTATATGCAATATATATTACATATTTTTATTTACAATATGCATAGCTAAATCTCTAGTTATTTGCCACAAGCCTATTTCTTTCCTTCTGCAAGGCCATTTGTTTAAAAAAAATAAAATTTCATAGGCAAACAACTCTGTTTTCTGCCCAGTTCTGCTTTCAGACAATTTCAAATGTCTCAGAAAAAGCACAAGGAAAAATCACACAAAAAAAGATGGAGAAAAGACATTTGGTCTTTCCGAGGTTTTTCTGCTGCCTCCTCCAAGGCACAGTGTCTCTATCTCTCTCTCATTTTATTTCTATCTCTCTCTGTTTCTATCACTACTCAAAAACCAGGATGACTTCACCATTAAAAAATTTCTGCTTAAGAATGGTCAAAGAAGGGTTTTTTTTGATCTTATTCCCCAGTAATTTGGTTCAAATTGGGATTTTTTTATCAGATTCTTTTTAAAATTACAGACAAATGACATTCCCGGCAGCATTTTCAATGCATTAATCCCCATTTTTGACATGACTTACCTGGACAATGGGCTCTTTGGGATACCCCTAAAGTTTTTTATTTAAGAACTCAGGGACAAGCTGTTCACGGCTGTCATTTCATAGCCCCTGCACCCTCAGCCACAGGACCCCACTGAGGAACCCCTTTCTCTCACAGACTTAGTCCTCAGGACTAAGAGTTGAGGACTTAGATTTTAGGCTGACAAATTTCTTTAACAAAGACAAAAATCGCCTCTTTTCGAGACCTAAACTGAAGTTTTCCTCTTCCTGAGACCCCAGACATATTTCCTGGGCAAATTTTAAGATCTTTCATGTTAGAATATACCCCCGGAATCCCTCGTGGCGTGAGCCGGAGTCCTCAGAGTCAGTAGGGACAAGACCCAGCCCAAAACCCTGCACTTTGTGCCTGTCCCCAAATGGGTGACAGACCCACAGCCCAGCCTCAAGTCCGAGAAAAAAACCCAAATCACCAAAAATCAACAAAATGTCACAATTTCACACTGAGGAAGGAAAGACCAAGAAGAAATTGGCGACTCACCTGCGATGGTCAACATGGTCCCGGCCCCAAATATACTAGCATTACTGCTGCTGTCGTGGCTACCACAGTAATAGAAAGCCTCGTCCTCGGGTTGGACCCCAGTGATGGTTAATGTGCCCGTGGAGCCGGACTTGGATCCAGAGAATCGCAAAGGAATGTCTAAGGGTCTGTTGTCATTTTCATAGATCACAGTGACGGGGGCACTTCCCGGGACCTTCTGCTGGAACCAGTCATAGCTGCCACTGCTCCCAGAACACAGGATATTGACGGTGTCTCCCACCCTGTGAGACAATGAGGACGGCTGAGTCAGCGCTGCCTGGACCAGGGAACCTGAAAATGGACAGGAAAGAGAGGGGAAGACGGGTCAGTCAAAGCCCCAGGGGCGCAGTTGCTGGGTCGAGGGATGGGATCCCTGTGCCCAAAGGCCCCATCCAGGCACAGTGAGTCCACCCATGGCACCTGAGGTGTGGGCGAGCACCACGAGGAGGAGAGGGACCCAGGCCATGGTGTGATCCCACCAGCTCCACGTCCCTGCAATGATGGGGCTGTGCTGTGGACCTTGACTCCCTTTTAAGTCTCTGTCCCAGCAGGACACGGCCCCTCCATGAAAATCTGACCCTGCACTCACGGCCAGATCCTGCCCACGCCTCTCTTGTCACCTTCCTCCCCGCTCCACGCGCAGCCCCACCACCACAGGTGCAGCAGGGCTTGTCCCTGGACACATAGCGGAGACACGTCCCAGCTCCAAGCCAAAATTCACCCCCACAGACCCCTCATTCCCAGCTCAGGCTGAGTGCCTGCAGGACCAAAGGCCGAAGGGTGAGGGAGAGATGGACACTGGAGACAGAGGGGGGTTTAAAAGAGCCCCCCCCTAGAGCTGGAAAATAGCTAGTTCCAGGAGTGGTGTTTTTTGGCACTGAGCCAGTCACAACTTGATGCACCTCTGTGTAAATGACATATTACACAAGCCGGAAAATAAGCTTGTTGGCAAAGCTGGAATTGGAGAGATGCCATGAGATAGAGAGGCAGACCGGGGGCTCTTCCCCACTGGTCCTGGCCAAGGGTCCAAGTGTGGCACAGCAGCTGGCCCTGACCCCTCGATGAGCCTGGTGGTCAAGAGAAACACCAAAAATTGGGGAGGCCCCTGGCCTGTGGCATTTTCTTCCACACTCGCAGTGGTGGTGGGAAAAACAGCAGCAGAGGCAGCACGGAATAGTGAGCTGCAGCTGGAGCTGAGACTGGGTTCTGGCCAAAAGACTGTGAAGCAAAAATCAGATAATTGCAGAGAGCAAGAGGAGCTGCCTGGCGAGCAGCAAATATGACATGGAGCCAGACCGAGAGACACAAGGACGTCTTGCGAAGAGAGAGCTGAACGAGCAGAGAGATGAGAAACCTGCTGGAAATATTTCTGGGGTAAGAACTGAGTCCAAAAGCCCCAGAAGCCTCTTGACCCGGGAAAGGAGGGGTGGAATCCTGCTTAGGGGACCCCCTGAAACTCCCGTGGAAGGAAACCTCCATGGAGCAGGAGATAAAGACTTTGAGCTTCAACTCCCTGTACCCTGTGGATGATGACCATGGTGATAATGAGCTTGTTTCCCTCGAAGCCCAAGGGTGAGCCCCTCGATTAGAACCGTGGGGCTGAGTGGGGGCGAGAGAGAGACCCCCTACACTTTGATGGAGAGAGAGAGAGAGATTTCCCAGCTACGGTGAATCGGAACTGCTGCCTTAAAGATGAGAGAAGAGACTGTACTGCGCTGAAAGTGAAAAGACACCTTCTTCCTCCTGGACTTTATCAGGGGAGGGAGGGATGGTCTGTGTAAATACATTTTTTTATCATAGGAGAGTTATTGAAGATTGTTATATATATATTGCTTTATAGTTTTTTATTCTGTTAGCAATAAATTTTGATAGAATTCCCCATGCTGAGTGTGACTGTCGGTGTGAAACTGCTCTCAACCTTGGAGCAAATTTTGAGGGGTTTGAAAATTGGCATTTGGGGGCTAAAACCATGACAGGGACAGAAGCCATCACAGGTCCCAGTGATGCCTCTGGGACAATATGAATCCCCAGCACTCCCACTTTTGATATTTTTGCCTCCTATGTGTGTCCTTTTTGGCTTGGACCCCAGCCATGAGGAATGTGGCCATGGAGATTAGTCTGTTCCCAAGCACTTCAGATGCCCTGCAAAAATGACAGGGGATGGGCACAGACCTGGGGTTGTATGGGATGTCTGAGCTGGGACACTGGGCACAGCCACCTGCAGCACAGGGCAGTAAGGGCAGGGCCATGGTGGGGACAGGGTTGCTGAAAGGTCATGGCAGCATTTCTTTGTTGAGGCTGTGGTCAAACACTCCACAGGCTTCCTAGAGAGTTGGATGATATCCCCAGCCTGCGTGTGTTGACAATGTCCTTCATTTTGGCAGCCCTGCAGTGTCCAGGCAGTTGGACAATGTGATCACTGAAGGGCTCTTCCACCTGAAATAGGTTATTCAGTTCTTTCCGTTGTGCTCTCCTCCACAAAAAGCAAGGGAAGTGCTCTGCTGGATGGTGCTGGGACACCAGGCACAGTCTCATTAGCACAGGGTAAAAAGGGCAGAGTCATGCCAGGGACCTGCCTTGCCATGAAATGGGGACAGCAGAGACTCCTAACTGGAGGAGGCAGAAGAGCTTTCTATCACTTCCCAGTTTCTCCAAGTGACTGTGGTAACACTGTTGCTGTTCCTTTTGTAGTTAGCACAGTAACAGACAGCCCCTTCCTTAGCTTGGACTCCAGAGATGGTTCAAGTGCTCACGGAGTCCGATGTGGATGCAGAGAATGGCAAAGGGATGTCCGAGGGTCCCTGGGTGTTCTCACAGTTCACAGTGACAGATGGAGGCGCTGCCAGGAACCTTCTCCTGGGACCAGCCATGGTACCAGCCAACCCTGGAACACATGACCTCAAAAGTTTGTGCCAGGATCGCTGACACCAAGGAGAGATGACACAACAGTGCCTGGACCAAACAACCTGAAGAGGAGAGATGGGAGAAAAGGACTGTCAGCCACTGATCCTGGAGTACACAGCCCTCTGCGGGCAGGGGAACAGTGATGGGACAATTCTGCCTGCAGGCACACAGATTGGACACACTGGGCCACAACAGGGCTGCTGGGAGGTCATAACTTCCTCAAATGCCAGGGGATGGGCACAGACCTGGGGCTGTAACAGACAGCTAAGCCAAGTGGGTTTTGTATCACTTCCCCATTGCTCCATGTCACTGTGGCAGCATCACTGCTGCTGTCCTTACCCCCACAGAGATAGAACAGCCTCGTCCTCGGCTTGGACCCCAGTGATGGTTAATGTGCCCGTGTTGCCGGATGTGGATCCGGAGAATCGCGAAGGGATGTTCGAGGGTCTGTTGGTGTTAGAATAGATTGTGGCACAGGGTGCAAGGGACAGATCGGTGCATGTGCTTGACTGGTGGCTACACTGGCACCCCTATTCTGGCAAGTGCAGGGGTGAGTGTGGAAATGGGGGCAGAGCCAGGGATGGCAGCAAAAAGACATCGCCCCATGCCCCTACCACAGGCCACATGTTCCTGCAAGGCACCCAGAGGACAGTGGTCAAGGGACAAGGATGGCACAGCCAGCGACATGTGCTTGATGATGGCATGGAGGTTTAGAGCAGGCTGTGCCCCAGGCTGCTCATCCCCTGGTCTTGGCTGTGCCAGGGGGGTTCATTGGGGTCCCCAGGGTTGAGCAGAAGCTGCACAGAGTCCCCCCAATATAAGTGTGTGTGTGTGTACACCTGTGTGTGTTCCCATCCCACCCACTGCCTGGTGGCACTGGGCTGACACCAGCCCGTGTGTGGGGAGCGGGCGCGTTGGAAGGACACAGAGACAGGGATGCTGAGCCAGGACTAGTTCAGTGTCGGTTTTTATTTGTCTGACACTCAGAGTGGGGGGACAGGAGCAGGGGACAGGGGGATGTGGGAAGCGAGGTGTGTGGCTGTGGGGAGCCGCTGTCCCCAGAAGTGGGGAGGAGGGAGGGAGCCAGCAAAGGGCCGGTGGGTGCGAGGAGGTCCCGGTGGGCTTAGGGGCACTAGGATCTGTTCACTGTCTTCTCCACATTGCCAGCCTCGTGCTTGACCTTGCAGGAGAATATGCTGAAATTTTGCCACTGGCTGGCATCCAGTGTCAGGTAGCTGCTGGCCATGTACTTGCTGTCGCTCTGCCGCACGGGCTGACTGGTCTGCACGTTGTTTGTGAGGGTGGTGCCGTCAGCCACCCATTCCACATCCACATGGTCGGGGTAGAAGCCCTCTATCAGACACACCAGAATGGTTTTGTTCTCCTTCAAGATCTGCTCAGAGGGCGGCTGGAAGACGTAGAGGGTGGGAGCGACCTCGGGCCGGTCTGCAAGGGAAGAGAGAGGTGTGGGGTCAGAGAGGGCCCTGTGCCCCACCACAGCCCCTGCCTGTCCAGCTGGCACTACCCACAAACTCCCTGCTTCCCCCACAGCCAAGAGCTTACCACTTATATCTTCAATGTATTTAGATTTGGGAAATCCATCCATCCACTTATTTATTTATGTATTTATTTATGTATTTATTTATTTATTCATATTTTTTTAAAAAGTTATAAATTTTTATACAATATATGCATATATATGTGTGTAATGCATGTATGCATCCCATATATTCTTGTATATGTGTTTTATATACTCTATCACTACCTATATGTGCATATACATAGTATATATTACAGATATATACAGCTAATACACATAATATACGTATATTAAAGACCACATCTATAAAGTATACAATATACTTACATATATGGTACATATCATTATATGAATAGATGTAGAATTCTATAAAATGCATATAACAAACATTTATGCATTTATGCCTTTCCTATATGCAATATACATTATATTACATAGTTTTATTTATAATATGCATAGCTAAATCTCTAGTTATTTGCCACAAACCTATTTCTTTCCTTTTGAAAGGCCATTTGTTTAAAAAAAAAAAAAATCAAATTTCACAGAAAAACAACTCTGTTTTCTGCCCAGTTCTGCTTTCAGACTATTTCAGACTTGTCTCAGAAAAAGCACAAGGAAAAATCACACAAAAAAAGATGGAGAAAAGATCTTTGGTCTTTCTGAGGTGGTTCTGCTGCCTCCTCCAATGCACAGTGTCTCTATCTCTCTCTCATTTTATTTCTATCTCTCTCTATTTCTATCTCTATTCAAAAACCAGGATGACTTCACCATTAAAAAATTTCTGCTTAAGAATGGTCAAAAAACAGGTTTTTTTTATCTTAGTCCCCAGTAATTTGGTTCAAATTGGGATTTTTGATCACATTCTTTTAAAAATTATAGACAAAGACAGACAAATGACATCCCCGGCAGCATTTTCAACGCATTAATCCCCATTTTTGACATGACTTACCTGGACAATGGGCTCTTTGGGATACCCCTGAAAGTTTTTATTTAAGAACTCAGGGACGAGCTGTTCACGGCTGTCATTTCATAGCCCCTGCACCCTCGGCCACAGGACCCCACTGAGGAGCCCCTTTCTCTCACCGGTGGTGACAGACTTAGTCCTCAGGACTAAGAGTTGAGGACTTAGATTTTGGACTGACAAATTTCTTTAACAAAGATAAAAATCATCTCTTTTAGAGACCTAAACTGAAGTTTTCCTCTTCCTGAGACCTCAGACATATTTCCTGGGCAAATTTTAAGATCTTCCATGTCAGAATATACCTCCCAATCCTTCATGGTGCACGCCAGAATCCTCAGAGTCAGTAGGAACAAGACCCAGCCCAAAACCCTGCACTTTGTGCCTGTCCCCAAACAGGCGACAGACCCCCAGCCCAGCCCCAAGTCTGAGAAAAAAACCCCAAATAACCAAAAATTGACAAAATGTCACAATTTCGCACCGAGGAAGGAAAGACCAAGAAACTGGCGACTCACCTGCGATGGTCAACATGGTCCCAGCCCCGAATATACCAGCAGGAATGCTGCTGTCCCAGCTACCACAGAAATAGAGACCCTCGTCGTCGGCTTGGACCCCAGTGATGGTTAATGTGGCCGTGGAGCCGGATTTGGATCCGGAGAATCGCGAAGGGATGTTCAAGGGTCTGTTGCTATTAGCATAGATCACAGTGACAGGGGCACTGCCAGGAACCTTTTGCTGGTACCAGTCATACCAGCTGTAGCTACTCCCAGAGCAGGTGATCTTGACGGTGTCTCCCACCCTGTGAGACAATGAGGATGGCTGAGTCAGCGCTGCCTGGATCAGAGAACCTGAAAATGGAGAGGAGAGAAAGGGGAAGACAGGGGTCAGTCAGTGCCCCAGGAGCACAGGGGCAGAGGGATGGGACCCCTGTGCCCAAAGTCCCATCCAGGCATGGAGAGTCCACCCATGGCACCTGATGTGTGGGCGAGCACCACGAGGAGGAGAGGGACCCAGGCCATGGTGTGATCCCACCAGCTCCACGTCCCTGCAATGATGGGGCTGTGCCGTGGACCCTGACTCCCTTTTAAGCCTCCACCCCTCAAGGACACGGCCCCTCCGTGTAAATCTGACCCCGCGCTCACGACCGGATCCTGCCCATGCCTCTCTCGTCATCTCCCTCCCCGCTCCACGCACAGCCCCACCACCACAGGTGCAGCAGAGCTTGTCCCTGGACACATAGCGGAGACACGTCCCAGCTCCAAGCCAAAATTCACCCCCACAGACCCCTCATTCCCAGCTCAGGCTGAGTGCCTGCAGGACCAAAGGGTGAGGGAGAGATGGACACTGGAGACAGAGGGGGGTTTAAAAGAGCCCCCCCCCAGAGCTGGAAAATAGCTAGTTCCAGGGGTGGTGTATCTTGGCACTGAGCCAATCACGACTTGATGTGCCTCTGTGTAAACAACATGTTACACAAGTTGGAAAATAAGCTTGTTGGCATAGCTGGAATTGGAGAGATGCCATGTGATAGGAGAGGGAGACTGGGGGCTCTTCCCCCCTGGTCCTGGCCTCCATGCCCGAGGCTCCCATGGGCTGACAAACACCCACACACCCAGTCCTGAGCATCCAGGGTGGCTGCAATGCCACAGGACCCCAGGCAGGACTCAGGCTGGGACAGCAGAAATGTGGCAAAGGTTTTCTTAGCCAGCTCCTCAGGCTCCAGCTCTAACACTGTCTCAGTGCTCCTCTGCCCCTCACATGGATATTGGGCAGTGGGGATGAGCCCAGACAGGGCTTCTGCAGCACCAGGAACATAGTCATAGAATCATAGAATCATAGAATAGTTTGGGATGAAAGGGACCTTCAAGACCACCTAGTTCCAAGCCCCTCCCATGGGCAGGGACACCTTCCACTAGACCAGGTTGCACAAAGCCTCATCCAAGCCTGCCTTGAATACTTTCAGGGATAGGGCATCCACAACTTCTCTAGGAAACCAGCTCTAATGCCTCATCACAGTCACAGCCCTGAGACATGGAACACACAGGGAAGGGCATCAGGAAAGGAAAGGAAAGAAAAGGAAAAGCCCCAAAGCTGGAGAGGTGGTCTGGAGCCTGCCTGGCTGAATGGAAGGAGGAGACAAAATCAGCCTCTTTGATGCTTGAGATTTCACTTGCCTGTGGCTCAGTGTCACCATGACATCAGCCACTGCTGCTTTCGTGGCTGCCACACTAATAGACAGCCTTGTTCTTGGCTTGGACCCCAGTGATCCTGTGGAACCAGTCACAGCACTGGAGATCATGAAGGCTGAGGGTCTCCCATCATTCCAGTAGATCACAGTGACAGGGGCACTGCCAGGGACCTTCTGCTGGTACCAGCCATAGTTGCTGCTACTTCCAGAGCAGCTGATCCTGACAGTGTCTCCCCAGGTTGGCTGAGGCTGAGGATGGCTGACTCAGCAATGCTGCTTGGACCAGGGAACTTGGAGAGGGAAAAGAGAAAGGGGAGAAGGGTGAGGGGTTGAGCCAGTGCCCTGGGAGAACAGCTGCCCCCAGGCAGAGGGATGGGGAATGCCACAGTCAGAAGAGAATGGACCTGGACATGGTCACAGGCACATTTGTGGAGCAGAGCCCAGTCCAACACATCCCTGCACAGAGGCAGCTCAGGCAGCAGCAGGAGGACACGGTCATCAGTAGTAGGACAGAGTGGGGTGAGGGACAAGGCTACATTGTGATCTATACTGTGACAAAGAAATGCTCTCCAGACATGGGGGAGATCAAGAGAACCTGCAGCTCTGTGGGACACAGAAAAGGGGATGTTCTGCATCACTTCCTGTTACCTGTTGGCACCACACATCATAGCCACCACTGCTGCTGTCCAAGCCACCACAGAAATAGACAGCCTCGTCCTCAGCTTGGACCCCAGTGATGGTTAATGTGCCCGTGGAGCTGGACTGGGATCCGGAGAATCGCTAAGGGATGTCTGAGGGTCTGTTGCTATTGGCATAGATCACAGTGACAGGGGCACTGCCAGGGACCTTCTGCTGGTACCAGTCATAGTTGTAGCTGCCCCCAGAGCAGGTGATCTTCACAGTGTCTCCCACTTTGGCTGACATCGGAGGTGACTGACAGGACATCTGTACCAAGGATGAATAACGAGATGAGGAGAGGGACAAAGCCAGCCCTGGGCCACGTGCCCAGGGAACAGCGCCCAGCATAGAATGGGAATGGGTTCAGGGTCCTGAGGGACCCTTACTTTTGTGGGGCCATAGTGGGACATTGTCCAGGGCCAGGGTATTCCCTTGGGGCCAGAAGTGCTGGAGGCACTGTCTACTCTCCTCCACAAATGACAAGGGAAGGATTCTACTGGATGGTGCTGGGACACCAGGCACAGCCATATTAGCACAGGGCAGCAAGGGCAGAGTCATGCCAGGGACCTGTCCCACCACCAAACAGGGACAGCAGAGACAGCAGCCCCTGCCATGGCGGGAGGGCTTTGTATCACTTCCTCATTGCTCCATGTCACCGTGGTAAGATAATTACTGCTGCTTTCGTAGTTACCACAGAAATAGACAGCCTCGTCCTCGGCTTGGACCCCAGTGACGGTTAATGTGCCCGTGGAGCCGGACAAGGATCCGGAGAATCGTGAAGGGATGTCCGAGGGTCTCCTGTCATTGTAGTAGATCACAGTGACAGGGGCACTGCCAGGGACCTTCTGCTGGTACCAACCATAGTAGCTGCCACCCCCAGAGCAGGTCATCTTGATGGTTTCTCCCACATTGGCTGAGACTGAGAACAGCTGACTCAGCAGTGCTGCCTGGACCAGGGAATGTGGAGAAGGAAAGAAGAGGAGGGAGAAAAGGAGGCTCAGCCATTAAACTAGAAGCACAGATCTGCACAGACGTGGTTACAGGGAATGCCACAGTTAGATGAGAATGGATCTGGACATTTCACAGGTACATTTGGAGACAAAGCTATACCATGAGTTTTATAGGGACCAGGACAATAGTCCACAGCCACAAAGTCACCGCCAGGGCTCTAGGAAATAAAAGGAGTGGATTAATAGACACAGTAGTGCATAGGAGACAAAACCCTGACCTAGCCCTACATCCACATCTCTGCATGGTCATGAGAAGGACAGAAAAACTCCATTTTTAAGTCCCCTGTACTTAACTTTAAAATCTCTCTGTGTCACTATACCAGTACCACTGCTGCTGTCGTAGCTACCACAGAAATAGACAGCCTCGTCCTCAGCTTGGACCCCAGTGATGGTTAATGTGACCTTGGAGTCGGACTTGGATCTGGAGAATCGCGAAGGGATGTCCGACGGTCTCTTGTTGTCGAGATAGATCACAGTGACAGGGGCACTGCCAGGGACCTTCTGCTGGTACCAGCCATAATAGTTGATGCTACCCCCAGAGCAGGTGATCTTCACAGTTTCTCCACGCTGTGAGACAATAAGGACGGCTGAGTCAGCGATGCTGCCTGGACCAGGGAATGTGGAAAGGGAGAGCAGAGAGGGGAGGAAAGGGAAGGTCACACAGTTTCAAAGAGTATAGAACTGCCACAGTCAGAGGAGAACACACATGGACATGGTTACAGGGAAACTGTGGAGTGGAGCCCAGCCCAATGCATCCCAGCACAGAGAGAGCCCTGGCAGAAGCAGGAGGTCATCAGTAGCAAGACACAGTGGGGTGAGGAACACAACTACACCATGGGTTTTATAGGGACCAGGACAATGGTCCCCAGCCACCATGTGATCTCCCATTCTCTGGGACAAGAAAGAAACAACATTCCCTGTTGTGGCTGTGCAGAAGGGACAGGAACCTGCCTCGGCCCCACATCCAGAAAGGAGGGACAGGGGTTAAAATCTTTCCTCTCATTTTGGAGTCTGCCTCACTTCCTGGTGCTTATTGTCAAAACACACCATAGCTGCTGCCACTGCTACTGTCGTAGCCACCACAGAAATAGACAGCCTCGTCCTCGGCTTGGACCCCAGTGATGGTTAATGTGCCCGTGGAGTCGGACTCGGATCCGGAGAATCACGGAGGGATGTTCGAGGGTCTGTTGCTGTTGCGATAGATCACAGTGACAGGGGCAGTGCCAGGTGATGTCAGGCAGCATAACCCCAGCTGCTGCTACTCCCAGAGCAGTCGATCTTGACGGTGTCTCCCACTTTGACTGACATGCGAGGTGACTGAGTCAGCGCTGCCTGGACCAGGGAACCGGAAAAGGGAGAGGAGAGAGAAGAGAAGACAGGGGTCAGTCAGTGCCCCAGGATCACAGTCCTCCCTGGGCAGAGGGACAGGACCCCTGTGCCCAAAGGCCCCATCCAAGCACAGCAAGTCTGGCCATGGCACCTGAGGTGTGGGCGAGCACCACGAGGAGGAGAGGGACCCAGTCCATGGTGTGATCCCACCAGCTCCACGTCCCTGCAGTGATGGGGCTGTGTTGTGGACCCTGACTCACATTTAAGCCCCCACCTGCCCAGGCACAGCCCCTCCCTGGATATGTGGCCATCAGAGTTCCCTGGAGCTCTTGCCTCAGTGCTTCCCCTGCCCACTGCAGGCTCCTCTGACCCACCAAAAGGCAGCACAATCACTCTGGGCTGCCTGCCCCTTCCCCAACACGGCTGCTGAGCTCTGAGCTCAGCCAAGGACCACCCAGTCCGTGTTCCTGCCCAGTAGGACCATGACCTGGCTGCACCAGGAACTCCTGTGTACAGGGCTGATAACAGCACTGTGATCACTCCAGGCCACCTGCTTCCCAGGCCACTCAGCTGGGAAAGACACATTCTGCTGCACACCAAGGCACTACAAGTGGGTGTCTCTCAGGAGCCACAAGACTACAACCCCCTCAGTCCTGGTATCTGGCAAAGGCCCCTCAGTCTTTGCAAAGATCCATGTCAAGGGACAGCAGGAACACTTTTCTACCCCACCTTGTCGATGCACCCTCTGCAGCCACCTCCTCCCTGCCTGTGACCCTGGCCTCACCCACCCCCCAAGCACCTCTGCAGCAGCACAGCTCCTCCAGCTGCTCCCCTTCCCACTCAGGGGCTTGTCTGCAGGGTTCTGCTCCCTCAGCTGGCCCAGCCCATTGCCCACAGAGCACACACTGCCCCCAGCACACCCCTCTGCAGGCACTGCTCTGGCACCGCTCCTAACCTTGGGATGGGCACAGACCTGGAGCTCTAAGGGGTGTCCAAGCTGGGACATCAGGCACAGCCACTTTCAGCACAGGGCAGCAAGGGCAGGGCCATGATGGGGACCTGCCCCACCATCAAATAGGAACAGCAGAGACTCCTGACTGAGGTCTGCAATGGCAGGAGATTTCAGTATCATTTTGCCATTGCTCCATGTGACTGTGGAACCACTGTTGCTGTCGTAACTACCACAGAAATAGACAGCCTCGTCCTCGGCTTGGACCCCAGTGATGGTTAATGTGGCCGTGGAGTTGGACAAGGATCCAGAGAATAGTGAAGGGATGTCTCGCATCATCCCAGTAGATCACAGTGACAGAGGCACTGCCAGGGACCTTCTGCTGGTACCAGCCATAGTTACCATTGTCACCAGAGCAGGTGATCTTGATGGTTTCTCCCACCTTGGCTGACAATGAGGACGGCTGACTCAGTGGTGCTGCCTGGACCAGGGAACCTGGAAAAGGAGAGGAGAGAAAAGAGAGGCTCAGCCAGTGCCACAGGAGTACAGACCTGCCCAGAGAAGGTTATAGTGAATGCAATAGTGGGAGGAGGACAGACAAGGACAAGGTCACTGGCACATTTGAGGAGCAGAGCTCATCCCAGTGTATCCCACCACAGAGGCAGCAGCAGGACAATATGGTCATCAGTAATAAGAGGCAGTGGGGTGGGGGACAAAGCCACACCATGTGGTTTGCATGGACCAGGACGATGGTCTACAGACACAAAGTGAGCTCCAGGGCTCTAGGAAGCAAAAGGGGGGACATTCACAGCCATGGTTGTACAGAGGAAACCAAAATCTACACTAGCCCCACATTCCCCACTCTGCTTGGCCATGAGAAGGAAAGAAAAACTCCATTTTTAACTCTTTTGTACCTCATTTCCACATCTCTCTGTGTCACAATACCAGCATAAGTGCTGCTGTCCCAGCCACCACAGAAATAGACAGCCTTGTCCTCGGCTTGGACCCCAGTGATGGTTAATGTGGCCGTGGAGCCGGACAGGGATCCGGAGAATCACGAAGGGATGTCTGAGGGTCTCTTGTCATTTTCATAGATCACAGTGACAGGGGCACTGCCAGGGACCTTCTGCTGGTACCAGCCAGCACTAGGCCAGCTACTGCTAAGGCCAGGGCAGGTGATCTTGACGGTGTCTCCCACCTTGTGAGACAATGAGGACGGCTGAGTCAGCGCTGCCTGGACCAGAGAACCTGGAGAAAGAGAAGAGAGGAGAGAAGATGTGGGTCAGGCAGTGCTCCAGGAGCACAGTCCTCCCTGGGCAGGGGGATGGGACCCCTGTGCCCAAAGGCCCCATCCAAGCACAGCGTCTGGCCATGGCACCTGAGGTGTGGGCGAGCACCGCGAGGAGGAGAGGGACCCAGGCCATGGTGTGATCCCACCAGCTCCACGTCCCCATGATGATGAGGCAGTGCTGTGAACCCTGACACACATTTAGAGTCTCCACCTGTCCAGGCACAGCCCCTCCCTGGATATGTGGCCATCAGTGTTCCCTGGAGCTCTTGCCCCAGTGCTCCCCCTGCCCACTGCAGGCTCCTCTGAGGACACATCCACCTGCCCTGCAGCACCCAAGTCTGCTTGGTGCTTCCTGGTCTCCAGGTGCCCACACTACCTGTGCACTGATCAGCAGCAGTGACAGAGGAGCTGGGCAAACCAGGTCCTGCTTCAAACTGCTTCAAACCAGGTGCTTACACTGGGCCTCTCTTCATTGCCACAAGGGAACCTCCAAGCAGAGAACTGGGATTGTGGAAGGGCACTGGAGCCACACCAAGACCAGGAGCTTCAAGGCTACTCAACAGGAAGGAAACACAAGCCCCCAGGTCCTCCAAATTCAAAGCTGGGGGTCTCAAGTGGCCTCACAGCCACTTGGAGTTCATATCAATTAACTGCCCACAGCATCCTCCCACTCTTGTCCAGCCTGGATCAGCCCCTCTGCTGTCTGCCCACCACACAGCCCAGGGCAGCCTCCAAAGGAGCCAGCGGGGGCTGCTCTGCACCACAGTGTTACACACTGGCACCTGGTTGTCCACAGCCCCTTTGCCTCCTGGCGGCCCTGTGAACCTCAGACCGTGCAGTGGAACCACACTGACACCGTGTGGGGACAAGAAGGGCCTCAGGGACAGCACTGGAGGAACTGAGAGCAGAGCCTGGCACAGGACTCTGCCCTTGCTGTCTCTCAGCTCTGCCACAGTTCCCACCAGGTCCAGAGATTCCTCCAGTCCTGGTCACGGCCTTCAGGGCTTCTGCACGGCACCCTGTCCAAGGCAGCCCATGCTCACAGGGGAAAGCCTCTCACACAGACACAGGGCCCTTCAGCACAGTTGCTCTCACTAGAGATGAGTGGCACAGAGCCCATGGACCAGAGCAGGATGCCCAGAGATAATGACAGGGATTCTCCCAGCTTCTCTGAGCAACAGCACCAACCACAGGACAAGACATTTGGAGGGCAGCAGCAATTAGTCACACCACAGCTCTTTACTGCCAGGAGCCCTGTCACTTCCACGTCCTCCAGCACCACTGAGGGTCTCTTTGTGACAGCACAGATCATAGTGACAGGGGCAGTGCCAGAGACCTTTTGCTGAAATTAGCCATAGGCACTGCTACCCTCAGAGCAGGTGATCTTGATGGTTTCTCCCATGGTGGCTGACAACGAGGATGGCTGACTCAGTGATGCTGCTCCAGGGAACCTGGAGAGGAAGAAGAGAGAGGGGAGAAGAGTGGGGATCAGCCAGTGCCCCAAGAATACGGTCCTCTCCTGGGCAGTTGGAGGGGGAATGCTACAGTCAGAGGGGAATGGATGGAACCACAAGTAGAGGGAAATTTGGGGAGCAGAGCCAAGCCCAACACATCCCAACAGAGAGGCAGTGCTGGCAGCAAAAGGATGACATGGTCATGAGGAGCAAGAAAGAGAGGGCTGGGAGACAAAGAAACCCTATGAGATTAGTAGGGACCAGGACAATTGTCCACAGACACAAAGTCATCTGCAGTGCTCTAGGACACAAAACTGGGGACATTCACAGCTGAGGTCCTGCAGGGGAGACAAAAACCTGCACCACTCCCACATCCACAACTCTGTTTGGCCATGAGAAGGAAAGAAAAACTCCATTTTTAACTCTTTTGTACCTCATTTCCACATCTCTCTGTGTCACAATACCAGCATAACTGCTGTAGTCCCAGCCACCACAGAAATAGACAGCCTCGTCCTCGGCTTGGACCCCAGTGATGGTTAATGTGGCCGTGGAGCCTGATATGGATCCGGAGAATCGCGAAGGGATGCCTGAGGGTCTCTCGTTGTTATCATAGATCACAGTGACAGGGGCACTGCCAGGGACCTTCTGCTGGAACCAGGCATAGTAGCCATGGCTACCACCAGAGCAGGTGATCTTCACAGTGTCTCCCAGGTTGGCTGACACGTAGGACAGCTGACTGAGTGATGTTGGACCAGGGAATTGGAAAGGGAGAGAAAAGACAGGAGCAAGGGTGGGTCACCCAGTGTCCCAGGAGCACAGAACTTCCTGGACAAGGTTACAGGCAATGCCATAGTCAGAGAACAGACAAGTGGGGGACAAAGCAACACCATGAGTTTTGTAGGGACCAGGACAATGGTGACCCCAGCCAGAAAGTCACCCCTGTTCTCTGGGACACCAAGGAGAGGATATTCCCTGCCATGGCTGTGCCTCAGCCCCACAGCCAGACAGGAGGGAAAGAAGGGCCAAAACCTTTCCTCTGATTTTGGGTTCTGCCTCACTTCCTGGTACTCACTGTCAACACACCACAGCTGCTGCCACTGCTGCTGTCACAATTTCGCACTGGGGAAGGAAAGACCAAGAAGAAATCGGCAACTCACCATCGCCTTTGACGGTCAACATGGTCCCGGCCCCGATTATACCAGCACTACTGCTGCTGTCGAAGCTACCACAGAAATAGACAGCCTCGTCCTCAGCTTGGACCCCAGTGATGGTTAATGTGTTTGTGTTGCCGGATGTGGATCCAGAGAATCACAAAGGGATGTCCGAGGGTCTCCTGCTGTTATCATAGATCACAGTGACAGGGGCACTGCCAGGGACCTTCTGCTGGTACCAGCCATACTCACTGCTGCTCCCTGAGCAGGTTATCTTGATGGTTTCTCCCACCTCGGCTGACAATGAGGACGGCTGACTCAGTGACGTCACCTGGACCACAAAACCTGGAGAGGAAGAAGTGAGGGGGGAGAAAAGGAGGATCATCCAGTGCCACAGGAGCAGTGATCTGCCCAGAAAAGGGAAGCTGAAGAGGGAGAGAAGACAGAGATCAGACATTGCCCAGCAGCACAGCCTTGCCCAGAGCATCAGAACTGGGCCTCTGTGCCCAAAGACCCCATGATGCAATGAAGGCAATCAGAGACACACAGAGAACCCAAGGTGTGAGGGTTGTGCAAGGAGAAATGGCAGCAGCAAGAGGAGGCTGACCAGCATTGCTGTCATAGTTCCCACAGAAATAGACAGCCTCATCCTCGGCTTGGACCCCAGTGATGGTTAATCCATGGATGTGGATCCAGAGAATTGCGAAGGGATGTCCGAGGGTCTCTTGTTGTTGTACCAGATCACAGTGACAGGGGCACTGCCAGGGACCTTCTGCTGGTACCAGCCATAGTTACCATTGCCACCGGAGCAGGTGATCTTGATGGTTTCTCCCACCTTGGCTGACAATGAGGACGGCTGACTCAGTGGTGCTGCCTGGACCAGGGAACCTGGAAAAGGAGAGGAGAGAAAAGAGAGGCTCAGCCAGTGCCACAGGAGTACAGACCTGCCCAGAAAAGGCTATAGTGAATGCAATAGTGGGAAGAGGGCAGACAAGGACAAGGTCACTGGCACATTTGAGGAGCAGAGCTCAGCCCAGTGTATCCCACCACAGAGGCAGCAGCAGGACAATATGGTCATCAGTAATAAGAGGCAGTGGGGTGGGGGACAAAGCCACACCGTGAGTTTTGAATGGACCAGGACGATGGTCTACAGACACAAAGTGAGCTGCAGGGCTCTAGGAAACAAAAGGGGGGAAAGAAGGGCCAAAACCTTTCCTCTGATTTTGGGTTCTGCCTCACTTCCTGCTACTCACTGTCAACACACCCCAGCTGTTGCCGCTGCTGCTGTCACGATTTCGCACTGGGGAAGGAAAGACCGAGAAGAAATCGGTGACTCACCATCGCCTTTGACGGTCAACATGGTCCCGGCCCCAAATATACCAGTACCACTGCTGTCGTAGCTACCACAGAAATAGACAGCCTCGTCCTCAGCTTGGACCCCAGTGATGGTTAATGTGCCCGTGGAGCCGGACAAGGATCCGGAGAATCGCGAAGGGATGTTCGAGGGTCTCTCGCTATTAGAATAGATCACAGTGACAGGGGCACTGCCAGGGACCTTCTGCTGGTACCAGGCAGTGTAAGGCCAGCTAATCCCAGAGTAGGTGACCTTGACAGTGCCTCCAGGTTGGCTGAAATTGCAAACAGCTGATGCTGCCTGGACCAGGGACTGTGAAGAGGGAGAAGACAAGGATCAGTCAGTGCCTCAGGAACACAGACTGCCCAGAGCAGACGAATGGGGTCCCTGTGCCCAAAGGCCCCATCGGGGCACAGCAAGTCTGGTCATGGCACCTGAGATGTGGGCGACCACCACAAGGAAAAAGACCCAGGAGATTCCACCAGCTCCACATCCTCACACTGATGGGGCTGTGCTGTGGACCCCCACATCCTCTTAAGTGCCTATGCAGCCAGCACAGCCACTTCCATGGAAATGTGACCCTCAGTGTTCCCTAACAGCTCCTGTCCCACTGCTGTGCCTGTCTCTTGCCCACCACTAGCACAAAGATCACTCCAGGCCACCTGCTTCCTGGGCTACTCAGCTGGGAAAAACACGTCCTGCTCCACACCAGGCTTCTCTCAGGAGCCACAAGACTACAACCAGCTCAATCCTGGTATCTGGGCAAAGGTCCCTCAGTCTTTGCAAAGATCCATGTCAAGGGACAGCAGGAACACTTTTCTACCCCACCTTGTCGATGCACCCTCTGCAGCCACCTCCTCCCTGCCTGTGACCCTGGCCTCACCCACCCCCCAAGCACCTCTGCAGCAGCACAGCTCCTCCAGCTGCTCCCCTTCCCACTCAGGGGCTTGTCTGCAGGGTTCTGCTCCCTCAACTGGCCCAGCCCATTGCCCACAGAGCACACACTGCCCCCAGCACACCCCTCTGCAGGCACTGCTCTGGCACCACTGACGCTCCTGCTTCCCAGCAGCACCACAGGAAACAAAAGTTTCTGCCTCCTGAGCCTCTGGAGCACGAGGGCAAGTGCCCAGCCTGCCCAGCTCCACACACCTACACAGAGCTTCCCAGACTTGCCTCTGCCTTTCCATGCTGCTCCAGTGAAGGAGGCAGGATGGATCTGCTGGCATGGCTGGAGCCCTTAGGCATGTCTGACAGATCCTGAAATGTTTTACATGTGCACGTCAGCAAGCAAACAGCAGCTTCCTTTCAGCCCTTGGAGTCCCCTCACACCCAACTCCTGCTTCCCCTCACCTTTTACAAGCATAAGGAACAGGACTTAGACACATGAAGACAGGGATTTATTATTCTATGTTTGTTCTACAGAAGTTCAATGCCCAGCTACCAACACCCTCTCTGACTCCTGTAGGCCAGGAACACAGCAGCTCCTCCTTAGACACAGGATTTTCCTCACAGGCTTCTTTCTCTTCATCAGCTGTGTCTTCTGCCTCAAGTTCTGCTTGGGAACCAAGACCAACAGCTCACCAGCAGTAAAGTGTCACAGCTGCTTTACAGCCCAGCTCAGTGCAGCACCACACCGTGGCCTGCTGCTCCTGAGACTGAACGGGGAAGGGAAGGGCTGAAAGGCAGCGAGAAGTCACCAAGGGGCTTTGAACGTGATTCAGTACTTCTTGAACTCAATTCTTTCTACTTTCACATCATCCTCAATTAGTTGGTATACATAAGTTACAGCCGTGGAAGCCTGGATATCCATCAGCACAAATGAAGGGGTGATGTTCCTGGAAAGAAGACATCCTTTGTAATCTTCCCAGTTAGTTTATACCTCCTGCTATTAACACCCCTTATGTTCATGTGTTTTCATATACTTTATTGCCCAGGGCTACAGTGAAGTGGGAAACACTGCAAGGTCTGCAGGCACTGATCAAAGTGTCTCAGGCAGAGCTGCACTTAGCCTGGAACATGTCAGGCTCAGACGTTTAAGCTGACAGGGCCTCCAGAAGTCTTATTTCCTACAAAATATTAGAATGCAGCTTCTGGGAAGATACCAGAAAGCAAAACAACTTCAAGAAGCTACTCCAACTCACCCCTCTCTGGGCACAGGAAGCAGCTCCAGACACACCAGTGCAGGGCTGTCATGACCAAAATGTGGGCTAAGAAAACCCTGGTAACAAGGAGCCTCGCTGGATTCCCTTGGAAGGGAGTAATCCAGGCTCCTGCTCCCCACAGCACCTCGCCAGTGCTCTGCAGCACGGTGATGAGACACACTCATTTCAGGTGACACCCACAGGCTCTGCTGTGCTGGGCAGCTCAGGGCTCCCCTCACTCACCTTTCCAAAGCACTGTAGGCTCCTGTAGCTGATCCTGGGTTGATGTAGAATTTTTTTTCATATTCAAATGCTTCAAACATGTGTGTATGTCCCGAGATGAGAATGTCCACATCCAGCTGCCTCTGCAGCAGTGCCAGGCTGGCTGCATCACCCCAGGGAATTACTTGATGGCCATGAATCAGCCCAATTCTGAACTGCCCAACAGTTACAACCTTCTTTTCAGGATAATTCAGGCTCTGAGGAGAAAGGTAGACAATAAATCAGTCAAGGACCCCTCATTTATGCAATGCAGCTTCCAAGACACAAACCTGCCCTTCACTATTCAGGCACATAAAGTCTCTCTCACCATGCAGACCCCACAGGATGCCTGTACCACACCCCAGCAAGAGCAACTTCAGAGTAAAGAGTTAGGAATTTGCACAGAGAGCAGGAGACTTTAACTGGGTATCTAACTGTAAATAATCACACACACAGAATTCCTGCAGCTACACGGCCAGCTGGGGCACTGTGGTCTCAGTAATCACAGACTTGTGACCGAGTTCATAGGAACCAGGTGCATGTTTTACCCCCTCACACTCAGGCCCTCCTGTTGCAGGTACAACAAGAAAGGTCTAGAAAATAATTTTTTTCTTCACTCTTACTCATTCCTACTCCTTATTCAGGTGAATTACAGTTCAGGAATTGGTCAATGCTGAGGGACTCCCCAGGATTCATGAAGACAACCAATGCAGGAAGGCAGGTTGAGGAACTGATGTTACCTCCGAGTCGCCCCTAACGACGTGGATGTCCCCAGCCAGCGTCCTGAGGTAGTCATAGCTCTCCTTGGTGCAGAGGTTTCCCGTACACAGGATGTGCTGAATCCTTCCTGGAACCAGCAGCTCCTTGAACTTCACGGGCAGAGCACTGCACCGGTGCGGGATGTGAAGGTCCCCCAGCACTAACACCAACTCCGCACACACCGGGGGGAAAGAGAGAGCCTTAACCCAGGTTACTCAACAGAGCAGCACAAAAACAGAATACCACAAACCCCTGCTGCGCTCCTTTTCGAGTCAGCTCTGATGAAACACCCCTGCGCTCGCCCGAGCCTCCCCGCACAGACAGCAGAGCCCAGCCGGGCAGCGCCAGGAGCCCTCGCTCCGCACGCAGCCGGAGGTGGGGAACGTGTTGCCCGGGGGAAGCTGAGGCGGGGGGCGCCGCAGCAGTGGGGAGAACCGGGCCAAGCCGCCGCCCCAGGCTGAACCCACGGGCAGGGAAGCAGCGCAGGTCCCCCATCCGCCGCTCACCATCCCGCCCGCTCCGCTCCGCCCGCCCCGCTGCCCTGACGCGCACGAGGGTAACCAGGAAGTGACGCTCCTGGTTTTGTGCTCCCCTGAGCCAATGGCAGCGCCAGCAGCCCCCACGTGATGTCAGCGCCTGCCGCAGGGTCCCAACGCCCGACGCGCGGTGAGCATGCGCAGTGCGGCCACCCCGGTGGTGGCGCTGAATTCTGTGGGATTTCTGTGGGAAAATCCTTCGTCTTTCTGTGTGAAAACGTCCTTGTAAAGGACCCACAGGTGCCAGCGGGGTTACACGTGTCCCTTTTCCCTCAGGAGCTGTGGTGGGCGGTGAGGGGAGGGGGACAGGGCAGTGTGGGTGGAGGTCTCTGGCTCCCCGGGGATGAGGGGCTGCTCCAGGGATGGGTGAGGGCTCCGTCCAGCCCAAGGGATGGGTGAGGGCTCCGTCCAGCCCAAGGGATCCCACCAAGGGCCGCAGTCCGCCCTCCCGACTCAGGTACCCCAAGCCACCCCGCAGGGGTGACCCCACACACGACACGAGCCCTGTGGGTAAGGATTAACCTTTATTACCAGGTGAGCCAAACTGTGCAGAAGCCCAAGCCGGATCAAGGCTACTGAGTGCTGGAAGAGCCTAGGAAAGCTGGGCCACAGTGGAGCCCTCCATCCATCCTCCTGCTGCAACAGGAGTCCCTGGCAGGTCTCTCACCGTGTCAGGCTCTCCAGTGCTCCATGGGGGAAGTTTGGGGTCAAAGAGTAGGTTGCTGCACTTCCCAGCACGAGGCAGTGCTGCTGGGCCTGCTCGAGCATGCAAGGAGGTCTTTTTCCATCCCTCCCAGGGCTGCTGCTCTCCCTGTTGAGGGCTTTGCATCAGGGTTGCAGAAAGGGCACAGAGAGCTTTTGTTCCCTGTTTCTAAAACCACTTGAAGGCAGGTGTCAGGGCGCAGTAGTAGGTGCCGTTGTCCTCCTGGCGGGCGGAGGTGATGGTGAGGATGCAGGTGTTGCTGGCGAGGTCCTTGGTAGCAGAGAAGCGGTCAGGAGTCTCGTCAGGCTTGTGCATTTCTCTCTCGGAGTTGTAATAGAGCAGATACCTCAGGGCGTGCCCCGGGCGCTCCTGGAACCAGGAGATGCCGAACTCGGTGATGTTGTACTGGGGGCTCAGGGTGCAGAACAGCCGGGCCGTCTGCCCGGGCAGCACGAACAGGGAGGAGGGCTGGGTCAGCACAGGCTGAGCCCTGCAAGCTGTACACAGCAAGAATGCAGTTACTGATGGGCCGAGCTGTGCTCCCCATCACCCTCAGCCCAAAATGTCCCTCAGCCCCTTTGAGGCAATCCCATTACCCAACCACCATCCTGCTTATCACTCCACACAGCCCTGGAGCAAAATGCCCTGCTCAGATTGACATCCCCTTGGACAGCCCACCACCCTGCAGTGCCCCCCCAGACAGCAGCTAACTCGGCCACCCCATCCTTACCTGTGCCCACTGTCCCCAGCAGGAGCAGGACCATGAAGCCTGGGGCCATGGCAGGAAGCAGAGGAAGGGTGGCTGTTTCAGAGAGGGTCTGTGGTGCTACAGGAACCCAGGTCACTGTGCTGATGGCGCCAGTGGGGTGTATGTAAATGACACAGGGGGCTCAGGGACTCAGCTCCCCAGGGCTGCTTGCTCTGCTGCAGCTGGGCTTCAGGGAGAGGGGGAGAGCTGAGCATTGCGACCCAGTGCCCTCCTTCACCCCAGGCCAGGCCATTTCCTTCAGCTGCACCCACAGCCAAACCCACCACCCTCTGTCCTGCACACTGGGGAGGTATCACTGTCCAGCTCTCCTCGCAGATGGGGAGAGCACAGGAGTTTCCCTGGGGTCTCACACTGTTTGCCTCAGGCCCTCTGCCATCAGGTGCACAGGAGGCCAGGAACCTGATCCACACTATGCCAAGGGTGTCCTGTGGAGGCAACAGGCTGGGGGCCAGCTGGCCCTGCTGCCACCAGGGAGAATGAAAGACAGTCTGTACCAGAATTCCCTGGCAGCCATCTCATTGCAGAAACAGCACAAGAAAAGTTGCTGCTCTCTTCCCCCTGCAGCTCCATTGCTGTGATTTTGCAGCCTGCAGTACAGGCTGGGAGCTGCCGATGGTGCTGCCTCTTTGCCAGGGCCAGCTCTGGAACAGCAGCCATGGGCAAACACGGTGGAGTGGCTGCCAAAGCCACCGGTCAGAAGGCATTTCCTGAGGGAGCATTGCAGTGAGAGGTGGCTGCAGCATGGCTGTGCTGTGCGGAAGGACAGCAGACCGTTACAGCCAAAGGCCACCAGCTCAGCGGGCGTGAAGCCCCTCCTGTCTGTGACACCCATCACAGGGCCCAGAGTCACCGTGTCACACAGCCACCAGCCCATGGCTGTCCTTTGCAGCAGCATGGTCAGCAGGCACTTGGCAGTGTCCCATAACTGGTGGGTGCCTCCTGCCCTCCACAGGCAGGCTCAGGCTCCACCCAATGCCACCACATCACCACCTAGGGATGGCCCACTCCCTCCCCTCTGCAGCAGCCAGCCCTGCTCCTGAGGTGTCCCCAAGCCAATGATATTTGCAAGAGGTTCCTGAGGTGACTGGCCTGTGTGTGCTCTGGGTGTGAGGGGAAATGGAGCTCTGAGACAGAACTAATGAGCTGCCTCGTTAGAGCACCCAGTACTGTGTCTCTGGCACAGGCAGATCCTGGAGAGGAAGCATCACCATCACCCAAGGACATGATGCAGGAAGCTGGACTCCTGCTGTGCTGAGCCACCCTGCAGAGCTCTTGTGCACACAATCATCTGTCTGCTGCATTCTGCCCCTCAGAGCAGCTGTGACAGAGCAGGGTCCCCTCCTGCAGTGCCCTGCAGCAGCGAGGGGCCTGTCAGACCTGACAGGGCCGTACAGCACCTTGCACAGCTGGGCTGCAGGGGCTGCTGTGGGGCAGGAGGGCAGCAAGGCCTGTAGTACCCCTGCCAGAGGGATGTGGTGCCACACAGCACTCCCTGCACATGCAGTAAAGCCTGGCTGTGTCCCACCTGGGGAGACCTGTTCTATCAGATTTATTAGAGGCAGCCACAGCTGCATGAGACCAACTCCATAGCCCATCCAAGGCTGAAGCTTTGCCATGGTGTCTCCTGGCCTTGTGGAGTCTTCCCCTGCAGGTATCAGCAGCTTGTGTTTCATGCAGCCAGGCCCCCGAGCTCAGGGGGGTATGAGCATGCTGCAGACACAGCTCCAGCTGTTGCCCACCAGCACTCCCCCGATTCTGCAAGGTGGTGGCAAAGTGAACATGAATTTCCCTGCACATGGGCCCAGGTGAGGAAGTGTCACATGTACACTTGTGCCATGCTCCAAGCAGATCAAGTCCATGTATTTAGACAGAGGCTGTGAAACAAAACCCAGTAAGGCAGAAGGAAATCACATCCTCATGCAAGGAGGGACATTTCAGGGAAAGGGAGTTTGTTCACAGAACACATTAGCGCTGTTACTGGTTCCCACCATTCAGGTCCTCCCCATCTGCTGACCAGCCCAGGGACATGATTTCATCCATATGTTTTTCCACGGGAAGAGGGTATGATGCTATGATGCCCCCGAACCACTGCTGCCAGAATATTGCACAGCAACATTTGGGCACCAAATGGAAGATGCAGCTGGCACATGAGCCACGTGCATCACTCTGACAGGCCAGGGGGGCAGGAAGGTGCTGGCTGTGCACAGTGCAAGAGCAGCTACGAGCCCAGCCCCGTGCTCACCCTGTTCTGCCAGCTTTATTCCCTTCCTGCATGAGGAATGAGAGATACTCACTGAACAGAAGGAACTCACACATGCAAAGGCAGTTTTATTCCAACTGCCCACAGTTCCTTCTAGCCTGCAATACCCCACTGCCTTGAGCTCCAGAGTAGGACCAGCACAGGCAGGATTCTCAGGCAGATTTTTCCAGAGGCATCCAATCATCTTGCAGAGGAGGCCACACTGCCCTTGCAGCAATGCTGGGCTCAGCTGGGAGCAGGGTGGGCAGATGTGGCACCGCCACAGCCCAGATGAGCTGCAGGACAAACAGGGGTAGGAAACACCACAAGACTGCAAAAAGTCTGAAATTCAGACTGGCTGGGATCACATGGAGCAGGCAGCCTTCCCAAAAGGCTGCTGTTTAGCTCAGTCTCTGCTCTACCCCCCCTTCTCCCACCCCGCAGCTGCAGGAGGCTTGGGAACCTGCAGGGGCCATTCCCTGTTGCTGGGAAATCTGGCTACTGAAACCACAACAGTGTCAGTGGCAAACACAGCCTGTTCCCTGGGCACTCCAGAAGCTCCCACCACTGCCTGCAGGAAGGCACCCGGCACAAGCAGCCCCTCAGCACAGCCCTGGGCCCCCAGCAAAGGGGAGCAGCTCTGGGAGAGGAAAGCCATGTTCATCACAGTGAGATACGGAGGTATGTGGGGAGAGTTCCAGCCTTGCCTCAGCTCTAGGGCCAGACACCCACCTGGACACCCTCAGCACCCCCACAAGGGGCAGGGAGGGACAGGGCACCCTGGTGCACAGCAATGCCCAGGGGTTTGGGAACATGCAGAAGAGCTCTGCACCCTGCACCTCACCTGTCTAAAGAAATACAATGCCTAGACACTGAATCATGGAGGAAAACCACACCAGCAGCGCTGAGTTAATCACAGGGAGGGAGGGCAGAGGCAAGGATGAGTTCCCAGCCTGGCAGCTCTGGGGAATCACTGCAGGGAGGGGCCCTGCTTATCTACACACAAGCAGAAAAGCCACGGGGCAGAAGTGCCAGCTGCCAGCAGAGCTCTTCTGCTCCTGGCTGTGTGGGAAAGGTTCCCTGGCTCAAATCCTGACCCTCAGCTTCAGAGAGCAGGTATTTGTGGCTGGTAGGAGGGAATGAGCAGCCCCTCTCCTGACCTCACCCAGTTGGCTGAGAGCCTTTGCTTGACCCCAGACACTCGTGGCTGAAGGTGTCAGACACACACAGTCCTAAGCCTTTGCTCCCTCTGCTATTTGAATTGGATCCCCAGCTCTGACCACTGACGTGTGTCAGCTTTGGGGATTTCTCAATTGTGACAAACTTGGTGAGAGTTCATGGCCAAAATATCTCCTGGTGACTCAGTCACAGTCTCCGGCTCTTTCCCCTTGTGACTGGGACCAGCTTGTGGAATGGGACTGGCAAGGACCAGAGCTCACTGCTTTTTCCTACTCATGCTTGATGAAACTGTACTGAAGGACAGAGACACTTCATCAGTCAGAACTGTTTTTCCCAAATCAGTGTTCATCCCCTAACCTGGGGCACTCCCAACACCAACCACCAGCAGATGTGGCTGTAAAGGAGCAGCTCAGAGCCCTGGTGATGCCACATGGGGATCCTGCCTTTGCTGGCTACACAGTGGGCACTTCTGAGCCACCTGTTGTGCCTTCTGCCACATCCATGGGGCTCCTGGATTTGACGTGACCACGCTCACATCTCGGGTCTCATTCTCTGTCTGCAGCCAACTGCCAAGTGATGGTGAACCTGCAGTGCTCTGTTCTGATCCTCACAACTCACCTGAAGAGGAAGTGTCAGTGCAGGCCTGAAGGTACGAGTGCTCCTGGGCAGGGGGCTCCGAGGGACCAGCACTCACCCACAGTGAGCAGCAGAGGGTAGCAAACAGGTCACAACAGACCATCCCAAAACACAGGGAAAGGGACAGCAACCTCCAGACCTTGATAGATTCTCTTCAAAGCTAAATTGCTAAGGAGAATACTCTAAACCCCAGAGGCTCATGCTGGCCACACAGGGACACATTGGGCTTCCTTCACCATGTGTCTCTCCCTCCAGACTGCATTGATCTTTTGGATGAAACAGGCACCCTGATGAACCTGAGCAAAGTGGAAAATCCTGCATCCGAATACAGCAGTAAATACCTCCAGGAAAGGGAGCACTACATCCTCATCAGAGTCATCCGTAAGATCCTTGTTGGGACAGCACAGCTCTGGGTGGGGGCAGAGGGGTGGGTTTCCAGAGTGGCTCTATTCAGCAGTCACTTAGACACAGCACAGGAGCTCTGAGGAGGTAGAAGCCAGCTCAGATGAAGAGCTAGAGCTGAACCTTTGTCCGAGGTGACTGCTCTTGGGGACAAGGAACCTTTCGTGGGCTGAACCACCTGCCCCAGTAACAAGCCTTCAGTTTGCAGTCAGAGAGAGACTAATCCATTTCTCCCATTCTGCTGGCAGGAGACAAAAACTCTGAAGCCACCTCCTATGAATCCTTGCTAGAGGACCTGGAGAAACACTACCCTGACCTAACAGGTAAGAGCCAGACACCCAGAGAGGAGCCAGGAGTGCCGGCATGACTCCTGTGCCCACCTCAGCACCCATGGGACTGCCCTCTGATCCCACTTAAGGGCTGGTTATGGCTATGGCAGTGAGTGCACTCAGGTAGCAAGGGAAGGGACAATCAGAAACCAGAGCTAGTTTGCAGAACACTTTCTAGTTAGTGGGACAGCAGGGACCTGCTGCCCTCCCACCCCACAGCAGGCAGAAGCCTGCCCAGCTTGCCCTCGGCAAAGAGGGGACATTTCCTTGGGAGAAACAGGGAGAACAGGAGAAACTGGGAAATCCAGAAGTGTCTCTCCCAGGCTGTGGTCTCACAGGGTGGCAGTGCCTCGCTCAACATGCAAGGGGCAACTACCCACCCAGCAGAACACACAGCTCTGGAGGGGGTTGATCACTCCACAGATCGGCTGCAGCAGCTCTCGGCAAAGACCCAGAGGAGAGACCAGTGGAGGAAGGGAACCTCGCAGAGGAAGGCTCAGCCCCACTTCAGCACCCAGTTAAGGAACAAAACCACCTCAAAGAAGAAGAGGGGCTCAGAGTTCAAGACCCCTAAATGAGGAACAGACCCATTCCTGGTCACGTGCACAGCACAGCCACCACCAGGACTCAGCCACCCCCCCAGCTTATTCCTAGTTCAGCAAGAGTCCCTTGCTACTGAGATCCTCTTCCTGGGGTGCCCTGCTCCTCAAAGGTTCACACTACCACATCCAAAGCTGTATCCTGACAAACCAGGCAAACACAGCACCACAGCCAGGCACAAGCAGCATCCAGGGGTCATTCATGTTCCTATGGCATGGCCTGCGCTCTCCAGTGACAAGAACCTGCACCTTCTTTCAACCCCCCTGCACCAGCAGCCAGAGGAACATGCACCCACATCACTGAATGGACCAGCTTTCCACACAGTCACCACACTGGCAGTGCCTTCTAGAGACTCTCCACTGTGGTCACCAGGAAAGGTTGTTCCAGAGACAGCCCTTTTCCACTACAGAAGCAGCTCTTTGCCAAGATGGGCCAAAGACAGAACAGACCTGCTGCAGGTGCTCCTGCTGGTTCTCCTTAACAGCTTTTCCACTCAGACTAGGACACACAAACATTACATTTATTTCTGAAACGGAGTTAACTTCAGAGTGGTTCTCCCCTGCACACACTGGGACAGTTCAGGACACAGAGCACTTCGGCTTTGAATCTCTGGCATCTACTTTTGCCCTTGGCTGTTTCTCAGGAGAGCACAAGGCACCCCATAAGGCCAGACAGAGCTCAGAACATTATCTACCAAGAACTTGGGTTATGACATTTAGAAGGGGCAGGACTTTCAACACCAGCCTCCAGTATCTGCTGCCAGCATTTACCATCTAGACCTGGATTTCCTCACAAATCCCAGCTGAGAACTTGTCCAGTATTCAACAGTCAGAGGTCAGAAGGTTAATAGACTCATTCTACCATGAAAATGCATCAGTTAAGCATCTGAAAGTGTCATGGTTTCACTGTTGTGCCACTAAAACTCCATCTGAAGCCTCAAAATTCTCTTTTACACCAACATAAAGAACAGGGCGCTCTGCCAGAGGCCAGTCTGAGGGCAGCACTCAGGAGATTGTTCTGCCAAGGTGACTGTAAGAGGAAAGCAGCTCCAAACTTCACCTGTTGCCAGTGACCTTGAGAACATTGCATAATCTGCTAAAGCTTTTAAGTAAGATCAGCCAACTGTACCCAAGGTCCCACAGCCAGACAGGTCACATTGTCTTAGCTCTAAGTCAGAACAGCTCTCCAGGAGGAGGATATCTATAGAAAAATAATTTGTTACTGAAAATACTCTAGACACATCTTGGATTACCCCTCTCCACCCTCTCCTCTGCCTGGAGGGCAGCCAGTGCAGCCTCAGCTGAGGTCTGGATCTCTTTTTGCCAAGTCATGCAGGCTCTGTCCTTGCTAGGTTGCACCTCCTATTTGCAGGGAACACACAGTAGTGCCTTGTCCTTTAAGCAGCTGATACTGTTAACATTTTGGTAGCTTAATTTTAGCTTGAGAATTAAATAAAGCACGTGCACAAGTGATAGGTCCAAATAAATTCCTTTATTTCTCTGTAATAAATATAGCACTATCTGAATTCTAAAGACCCTTGGGTCTAATCATTCCTTTCCTTCCGTACTAGTTCAGAAGTGAATTACCACTAGAATGCTCCTGTCTGGTCAGTCTACTCCCTCCAGCTCACTCCCTGTCTGTCCTTCTGCTCCCCAGGGATAGCAGGGCTCTACACCACCATCCTCTTCCCTACAAGGGGGCAGATTCTTCACAGGAGAGAAGAAACACCTACAGGGAAGAAGAATAAATTCAGCATTAGGTACATGTTCCAGCAGCTGGAATTAAAAGCTCTGTTATCTCAGGTGACCAGATCAAGACCTAACTTCTAACAACAACTTATAATAAATGCAGCAAGAATTAGAGAATCAGCTAGGGAAAAGCATCAGGCTTCCCACGGCAGCAAAAGAAGATCCACTAAGAGGGTACCTACAGCCTCCCCACCTTGAGAAGTATGGTCAAGATCATTTCTCCCACCCTTTCCAGTGCCCTTCTGGGAACAGAGGAGGCAGAACTGCTTCCTACAGCCCTGAAGAGCACTACAGCCCTAAAAGATCGCTTCTGCAACCTTCAAACCCTCTCAGGTACTCTCCTGGCAGCAGTTCCCTCCTGCAGGGATGGGGCACACTCACCGTTGTTATACTTGCACTGCTTCAGAGCCTCGTTGAAGCCCTCGCACAAGGTCAGGTCTTGCTGGTTGGTGGCACATTCCAGGAACTGCTTCATCTCGTAGTGGCAGGGTCCGAAGGGCGACTGCGGCTGCATGG